TCAATTCAAATATTTTGTAATAACATCGATTTTTTTAACCTCTCATCCATTTTAAACACACATTCCTGCAGATGTTTGGAGGCATTCTAGGTGCTGTGCTTGTGGATGTATCAGGAAGACGTTCACTCCTACTTGTAAATCTAAAACTCAAAAACCAAAAGTTTAGGTTATTTTGATCAATTTCTGAAGAAAAATTAGGAATTTTTTTGAGTGTGTAGGTTTCTCAAGGTGGAATGTTTTTGGGTTGTCTTGCAACAGCCATTTCATTTTTCTTGCAGGCATGCTCTCTTACTATTCTCTCTTACCTACTAAACCGGTTCTTGGATTTTAAATTTTCAAAACCAGACCGTAATATTTCCGGTTTTCTTATTATGCAGAAGAAGTCTTGGTGGGATACAGGAACACCTATCTTGGCTCTCATTAGTGTTATGGTAATTAAAAACTTATCACAATAGATAATTTTCTCAAATTTTTTCATCTATGACTCAAACACGCAACTCTCAGATTGAACATGTCAAAGTACTACCTTTGATTGTGTTTTGCATATTTATTAAATTAGGTGTATTTTGGATCATACGGATTAGGCATGGGAGCAATACCATGGATCATAGCATCAGAGGTAAATAATAAAAAAAAAATTAAAAGATGTCTAAAAATGATAATCATAGACATCTAAATGTTCATCTTTTGGCTCAAAATGTTAATTGTTTATAAAGTTATAATTCATGTTATTTTTTTTCAATTTATTTTCTAGATTTATCCAGCAGATGTAAAGGGAGCGGCAGGAACAGTTTGTAACTTGGTCAGCTCTATAAGTTCATGGCTCGTTGCTTACTTTTTCAATTTTTTGCTTCAATGGAGTTCCACGGGTAATTAATCTTTAACACTATTTAACTAAAATAAATTACAAGAAAAATAAAGGGTCTTCTTACAATTCTTATATTTTGAAAATATTGTTAACTAAAAGAGATTATAATTTTGTGGTAAAAACTAAAACTAAGTTATTGCAGGAACATTTATGATGTTTGCAACAGTGACTGCCCTTGGATTTGTGTTCATAGCTAAGCTTGTTCCAGAGACCAAAGGAAAATCTTTAGAAGAAATCCAATCTCTTGTCACTTATTCTCCTCCTCAAGATTCTACAATATTCTAAAAATTCCCCACAAAAAAAAAAAAAAATCCAGAACATAGATAGTGAATATTCGTGCTTCAAAATTTTAATATTTGTACTCTTTTAACAACAGATTGGTTTTTAGTAATTAATTGAAAAAATTATTCTTAACTACACAAAGTATACGTTAATATATTGCAAACCATCCCAATTATAGAATTGTGTTATAAACTACACAAACTATAATACATGGTGACATACATCAAATATATGTAAACATGTTAAAAATTACAAATTGTTTGATAAATATTTATCAATTTGGAGATCATTTTATATTTTCATAAAAAACAATTTTTTTATGAAAATTCAAAAAACTAAGAACATACAAAACTTAACAAATCGAAAGAAAATCCATAAAATTTCAAAAATATAAAAGAAAAAAA